ACCAGGCTAGGGACATTATGACCTATGTCTGAGAGCTTCAGAAAGTTCATTCTAGAGGCAGCTCCTTAGCAGAATGGGAGAACACTTGAATGGCCCTAAGCAGAGTTACAGTGAAGAATTCAGACCAGCATCAAGATACCACAATTATCAGTGAGCCTGTTTAGAATTTAACTCCACAGCCCATTTCAGCCTTACAGGTGAGAGTTGCTTGAGGCAGGATGTTGTCTAGGACACTTCTATGCCTGCTGATGCCAGCTAATATTTTGATGGGCTGCTGGCTTGATCCCACTCATCCACATTAATGCTACACATTTGAGTAAGAGGCTGCAGATTAATGCCACACAGTACATTTTTTTTTTCTAAACCAGTAAGTTAGGCATTTTTGGAAACAACCATGATATCATGTCTGTATTCTGTATGTTTGCTTGGAGGTGATGTGTTTTCTCATATGGTTTTCAATTTTTTTTTTGTAATGAAACAACAGATCTCATTTGTTTGGTATTTAATCATATGCCCTTAGTTGCCAGTATTAGACTTTCTCTTATTGCTTAAATTATGTCTTTCCTTAGAACTTCTTTAAACCCTAAGCTAACATCATGAAGTGGTCAATGATGGATGCTTATTCAGTATATGAAAGCCTACATTAGACAGTCAGTGACTTACAGCCTTTCCTGGACACCTCCATTGGCTTGCATAAATACTTGTTTTCTAGGGTACAGGTCATACCACAGAACACAATCTGCTGTACAGTCTTAAGGTGTTTGTTCTTTCTACTCTCCATTCACTGGCATATATTCTTAATGCCAATTACAATCCCCACCTCAAATAAAATAAATGGATTATCTTATCTCATCACTTCAAACCTGGGGCTATCATTTCCTGGCCACTTTATGTTCATCTTCTAATAAAGACACTGGATAACATGGCCTAGTTTGCTATTATAAAACACAGGTTGAGACTCTGATGGGGAATTACCTTCATTTGGGCTAAAAAAGAAAATTAGTGTCCTTTAAATGGGTCTTTGGATCATGTGGCAGACAGTGAACTTGACATAGCTAATACAATTTCTAGCCTAAAACCTGCATGTAAGAACAGCTCATTTCATTTCCCATATGTACATTCAAAGAAATTTTGTGTCCTCTATTGCTTACCATACAGATTTTTAGATATATTAAATTTTCATCTTAAGCTTGTCCTTTTTTGTTTGCTTACTAATGTAAATGCTAATTCATTTTCTTAAATCTAAAAGGAAAGCAGACAATAAGACATTTAGTTTAAATGTTATGTTCACTCAAATGCACTTTATCAAAAATAATGTCTTGCAGTACTGTAATCTTTCTGACAAGGAGAAAGGCAAGGAACAGACATACTGTGGAGAAACCCAGACACCTTACACAGGCATAGAGAAGAGGAACAGATGTTCTGCAATGTAGGACAATGTTATGTCATTAACTGTCATATTTCTATTGGTATTTTAATATTCAACTCTGAAAATTCACTTTCCCATAGAATATACTAATACAAGACCTATCACTTTAAAGAGTACCACAAGCTGCTAATCTATAAAGGAAGTCAAGTCAGTAAAAGAAGTCACAATAAAATATTAAGTTACAAATAACTGGTATCTAGCTTATTGATTTGCATTTTCAATAGAATGTGTTTATTATGTTCTGAAACAATCTTATAGTTAAGTTTTTATCAACTAAGTATTGAACTGGGAGGTTTATAATTTCAAAAAGCTTATTGGTTAATGGATTAGAACTGATAACCTTTAAGTCATACTATAGAGTAATTTAGGCCTTTCATAATGTTATGTGGATATATGTTATTCAATCTAAACTCTTATTTCTAGACAGGGTTGCTGTAGAAATATAAGACTATATTAAATTAAACAAACAAATCACTCACTAAAAATATGCTAGGTAAACAACACCGGTAGGAGATTCAGAAAGATACAACATTGGGTGTAAAAGTTTGTATAAAAAATGGTATGTAGTGGGAGGCCATATATTGGTGGCTCATATGGTAAGACCATATGTTGCTCTTTGAAATTCCAATATCACCTGGAACACAGCCATGTCCAACTCCAATTCTTAAAGTTTTGATGCTCCTAATGGTCTGCACGCATACTTGCATTGACATGGTACATACACACAAGCACACACACATTATTTAAAATAATTTGTTTGTTTTTTGGTGTTTTTTTAAGACAGGGTTTCTCTATATTGTTTGGGCCTTTGCTTGGAACTCACTTTGTAGACCAGACTGGACTTAAAGTCAGAGATCCATCTGCTTCTGCCTCCTGAGTGCTGGGATTAAAGGCATGTGCCACCAATGCCTGGCCATTTAAAATAATTTTACAAAGATTTGAAGGACACATTTCCTGTGTTTGAGTATGTGTATACATCCATATGTTATGCACACATACATATGGCCAAATAATAACATTCTAACACATAACTATCAAATACATTTCCAAATAAATATATAATGATATAATGGCATCATTATTTGATTAATGAAATGGGCATATAAATATGACATTTGCTCATGCTATTTGCAAACATGTTTTCAGGCCACTAATTTTCAAGTTCACTCTAGTACTTTATATTTAACTATTTAAGAAGTTTTGTTCATACTCATTTCCACAAAATCCAAGGCAACTCAATGAGGGATTCCACAAATAGAAAATTACTTAGTAGAAAAAGCTCTCCAGAGCAGAGCATATAAATTAGTGGGAATCTCTGAGTTGTCATACACTCGGGTAATGTTATATAGACTGAAAAGGTTATAAGGAATATATATATATATATATATAGATAGATAGATAGATAGATAGATAGATAAAGATAAAGATATAGATATAGATGTGTGTATGTAACTACAATAAATAAAAAAGATACCATGAATTTGAAAGAGAGTAGGAACATGTACATGGAAGGTTTTAGATGAAGAAAAAGAAAATGAGGTAATTATAACCTAAAGATAAAGTGAAAGAAGCTTTAGAAATCCCTATAATGCTTGAAGAACCATGTGTTAGTCAAATTAGCTAAATAAATGGAAGATTCAATAGCAAACATACTCAATCTTACTTGTGTAATGAACAAAATTTTTATAATTGCCAAGGTTTGTGGAGCTCCATCACTTTGTGCTGTCCTCTAATAATAATTTATTGAGAAATGGAAAAAAAATTAAAATATTTTTTAAATGGTAGAAATCCATACCTACTTACTGAAATGTACTATCTGAAGAACAGGTTAGTTATGCTGATGTAATATGAATGTATGAATAAGCATATTGCAAGTTTTTACTTCCATATTTTATATTCCAGAATGGATCACAAACATCATTGCATGAAATATACATATTTCATGCAAATGATGACAAAAAAGCAATGGAAAAAATGTGAATGGAGAGAACAAGATTATTTGCTATAATAATTAGAGTAAAAGTGATTTAGTTTTTGTTTTTATACCCATTGTGTTATCAATTATAGGGTATTTGTACATAAGTGGTCACTCTGCCAGTGTTCTACACTCCTAATCCCTGCTATTCACATTTTAAAATTCTGTAACATCTGAATATTTTCTATCTATATCATACTCACTGTCCCAGTCTTGAAAACAAATATATATTTTATAAACACAGATTTGATGTGTCTACCTTTTATACAACAAGAAACAACCAATATGCTATAGTGTTCAGGCATGACAACATCTTATAATGTATCTTCAAGTCTTTTCAGAACAGGAAAATGAAATTGTCATCACTTATTTTGTATCTTCCTACATAACCATGTGTAAATACTTAGATTACTAGAAATTGATTAATATTTAAGACAGAGCTAGCCGATAAGAAACACTAGTAACTGGCCAACAGCATTATATCAAATACAGTGTGTGTTTTTTGGGACTGGAGCAGTGGTGGGACCAGGCCTGCAGAGAAAACTAGCTCATAACAAAATAGTGCCTAAACAGGGACATGAACCCTGGACTCTGATAACAAATACTCACCTTTCTTGTAGGATGTAGGATTTCCTAGCTAAATAACATAACGTATACTTGTAATATCAGCATGCTAGTATCCAAGGCAGGCAGACTACAGAGAATTTGTGGCCAGGCTGCACTACCTGATCAGTTTCAGGCCAATCAGGGCCACACTGTGAGTTACTTGTTCAGTAAAAAAAAAAAAAAAAAAAAAAAAAAAAAAAAAAAGACAAAAATGTGTCATTTTGGGTCCACTCAAGAAAACAGAGCATGAAAGAATAATTATATATGTAAGCAGTTACTGTTACATAACTATTCTTTTAATTTACATTGTTTTTTACACAAAAACATTAGCTGTTGACTTTGAACTTTAAAAACAGTATATGGCATTTTTATTACTTCTAATATTTTAAGTGTCTATTGGTTTAGTCTCTATTAATATTTAATAAACCTATTCCTCAAAAATATGTGCTATATCCTGAAATCAGGAAAATATTTTTTTACATATATTATTGTAATGTCTGGTTTGAAACAACAAATGAATGTACTACAGAAAAATAAGAAGAAACTACTTTTAGATTCCTTATCTTCTAGAAAGCTGCTTCATTACAGGGAGCTCACATTGTGGGAGAATATTACACCATTGTAGAACAAGGGGAAAATTATAACATTTTATTGGTGACTTTAAATTGTCAAATAATTCAATAGTTTTAGCTACCAATATTTGTCCTAATGGTGTATCACAAAAAAGTAGTCTAACTATTCTGAGTTAAGGATATATATATAAAAAAAAAAAGTTCTTAAACTGTTACAAAGTCTTTTTTCCAAAAACTAGTCTATTTAAAAAGTGCACCCACTGATACTTCACTGCACAATCAATTGTTGTAGCCTTTAAAGTTCACCTCATCACTTCTTCCTTTTCTAGACTGAGGTCGATAGTGGTTATTCATATTACTAGTCAACAAACTTTTCCTGATGTGATTTCTCTTCTCTTTCTTTTTTGGCATGCTGCAGTAGCTAACATATTATGGAGAGAAGAAGGTACCAAATTAAATTATATGTTATATTGTGACTTCTTAACTTGATGTTTACTATATTTGCAGACTACCATTTGTTTCAGTAGTTCGTTTATTTTCACTTTGACTCAAGATTTTGATTGTACTACTATTTTCTAGCATAAACCGAATACTATTAAAATGCGTATCACTTGAATAGAACAGCAAAATAGCTCAGTGGGTAAAGACATTTGAAACCAAACCTGAAGACTTGGATTTGAACCCAGGACACATGGGGTGAAAGGAAAGAACCAAATTCATTAGACTTTACTCTTGCCTCCTTCTGTATACTGTGACACACACACACACAAAACACACACACACAGAGAGAGAGAGAGAGAGAGAGAGAGAGTAAATGTAAAACAGACTAACAATTATTTCACTATAAGTCACTTTGATACATTAATAATAGAAATTTCCTTCAAATATCTATAAGTAGTTTTAAAAGTTTCAAAGCAGGTCAAAACAGTAAAAGCAATTGAAATTACCATACTTTCCACAACAAACTTTGGTAAAATCTCTATAAGAATAACTGTGTAACTGTCCTATGAAATGATTATATTTTAGATAAAATTTGTTACTAAGTTGAAGCATAATTCAAATAGTTTCATTACTGAACTTAGGCCTGCTGTTTTGTATCAGTTTTGTATTTATTTCTAAAATAACTATACCAGTTACTAATACTCAGGAGGGCTGCTCTTAGCTTTTGAACAATAGTCAACATGTTGCAATGTAACTCAGGAACACATTTTTTGCCATCCTCTTCACTAGTCAAAACAAGCAAACAAACACACACACACACACACACACACACACACACACACACACACACACACACACACACAAAATCCTGTGGAAAATGGCCTTCTCACTTCTGTTACCATGAGAAGGCATTCTAACTTTCTTACTTAGGCTCTTCAACTCTCCTTCATGATCTTCTTTACTAACTTATTAATGAAGCAGTTCTTGTGTGCCCAACCTGCCCTTTTGTTCAACTTGAATGCTAAGCTCAATTAGACTAAAACCTGCATTGGCATGGCTTTTAGTGTTTCTTTATACCATATTTCATCAGCAAAAACTATTTATCTGGACATTAAAATATTTAGTTCAATTCACCATTGTGAGGGAGAGGACAACTTCTACTGAGCAGAAGATCAGTGACCACAGACCTGGTTTTAGCAGTTGACTGCTGAAAAAATGAAATGAACTCTTAGTTGCTCACTGCACTTCAAGGATGCAGTCTTTAAATCTGTGATATGGGAACCAACCCAACATGCATGAAAAGTCCATAAATATTAAATTTTTTAACTGTTAGCATTATTAACTTATAATGTACAATGTAATACCGATATCATAATTATCTACTAACAGGCTCATCTCAGATGGCCATTAAAAAGAGACACTAACGTAAATCATTCTGGCTCATGTATAGGTAGTGAGATAATGCACACTTCTGTACTACTATTGCCTGAAAAATACTGGACACCATTACTCCCAAAAGTCTTTACAGAAATATGAAACAATAAAGAAAGACATTGCTTCTGTAATTCTTAGGATTAAACTCAAGGATTCATATTTATACAAGTGTTACTTTAGTAAGCATAATACGAAGACATTATTTTCATGTATTAATATGATTGTTCTCAGTGTCTCAAGGCATATTTAGCTCTCTTCAGGATACAAATAATGGTAACATTCAAAAACACAAAATTTTCTAGTCAAGGCAAGAAATGTCCATATTCATTTTTAGCTAAAAATGATATTTTATTTTTAACTTATAAATGTATACTGAGAATATATATATGTATATGTGTGTGTGTAAATATACATATATATGTATGTATATTTATAAGCCAATGAAAAGGGAAAGATAGAATTAAGGAAATACTTAATAACTATTTAGGCCCAGTGACATACCTTTGATTAACAAATGATCATAGCATTTTAAGTTGTTATTAATAACATTATATATACTAAGGCCATTTGACAGTTTAACCTTCAAATATTATCACAAGATACTTTTTTATTAGCTTAAATAAGCACCCAGAATCCAGAAATGATTCAAATAATTTTGGAACAAAATTAATCATGTATGAAATGTTAATTAATGGCAGAGATAACAGGATACAAAATTCAAGCTATCGGGGTCCTTTCCCCAGATACCAGTACACACTGCCACCATATGTCCTTCAATGAATTAATGTTGTATTAAATGTTCAGTATATATTAGGAATACTATCTACTTATAAATGGACATGTAATTATTTCAGTATCTTCTATATACTCTGTATAGAAGGAAAAGAGAATACAAAGGAACTAAGATAATTTTGGACTAATTACTAAATTAACAGTCAGATGTATCATTGATTTGGGAAAGACATGATACATATACTTGTCTCGACTGACACATGAGAAATGGAAAAAAAAAAAAAAAAAAAAAAAAAAAAAAAAAGGACCATTAAGACTAGCATGGCAGAAGCTTTCACTGAATTCCAGGGCGTTTGTCATGTCCTGTAGCACTGGATCCCCTTAAAAATCTGTGTAATTAAAAACTGTAGGAATAATTATCTTTACTCTGAGAATCAGGATTCCTCTTCCTTATGTATTGTTTACAAGTTTTTCTAGTATGCATGTACATATTTGCACTTGAAAAAATACTAAGTTCATAGAGGTTAACTGCTTTGTGTTACCTGTGAAGCCAGGAAGAGCTTTGTTCAGCATGAAAAATGCCCTAAAGAGAAGCCAAAATGTTATCTAAAGAACACAGTATTGTTTAAACTACTGCATTTTCAAAAGTAATTAGCAGACATGAATTGTTTTGCACCTTTCAAACAATTTTGTTGTGGGCCTAATAGCAAAAACTGACATAGTTATCTGTTTAAAAATTGATTATTGAAGATGCAGGTGACATCACATCTTCTAGCCTTCAAGAACAAGACACTGTCTTTGTTGAGTGATAAACTAGAAAGTGTGAATGGCATTTTAATCCACTATGAATATGAACAGAAAGGTCTAGGGAAAGTCTGAAAGGACAAAGTATGAGAAATGTTCTACTAGATATCAAATTAAAATTTTAGTGAGATCATGAATTCTTGGGAAAGAAGATATAAAATTAAGTATTGGAGAAAAGACAGAAGTTTAACATAGAATGAAGAACCAAATTATGTTTAATAAAGAATGAATATAGTAATGAACTGACTTCTCACCTGCATTACATGTCCTGCCCATGAGAGGTAGTAGCTTTGTGATACTGTTCTTATCTCTAAATACAATAAGGGGAGCTTTCACACAATTATAATCTGTGCCCAAAAGCGAGTGTTTTCTGAATGATTTCATAAACACCAAGGTATTATTTTTATACTGGAGAAAATTAAAATGAACAAAAGAGGGTGAACTCTAGAAAAGATAATTATATTTTAACTGTGACTGGCATCATGGGATATGTTTTGTGATTTATAAAATTACTGGTGTGAATTCATATTTTAAAAGGTAAGAAGCAGAGTTACAGGCTCTAATGTGTGATTTGCATAAATAAATAAGGTGATTTAAAGGACACTTCAGCTCAGAAATTGAACCAGTTCATTCATCATGATGGGATCCCACTGATTACATTGTGCAAAAAACAGGGTTAAAAGAACCATACTGAACATATACAGAGGTGAAGGATGGAAATAGTTCAATGAAATAAACAGATATTCTGGATGGTAACTAGTTGCCAGTTCCACATGTGTTCCAATTCATGATGCTAATCATCAGGCAGAATTCAAGGTAGATGTGTTCTCACTTGAAATTGAGAGGAGCATTGTAAGAAACATGGAAAACTCCAGAAGTTTCTACACAACTTGAACAGACAACAAAGTGTAGTTTGTTTATTGCTCCAGCATTATGCAGGAAGCAATATTATTAAATTAATAGTTATTAATAAATAACTTACATTAATCCATTTAATGTACACAAGTAGGTTTTACTAACACAAATAAAAAGTAGCCATCTTTTTAAGCCTTGCTATATGTATAGGTAATTTATATTCTGTTATGCACAGGTATGCATTTAGCTTAAATCTGACAACCAATGAATATTTACTTATGAAATTTTGTGTGTCAAATTTCACTTGTATATAAGTCTTATCATTTCTGCTACTGATCAGGAATATCTTTTCTTAATGTGTATTTTCTGGAACTGTAATTAACAGATCATTGTTGAAATAATCTATAGTCATTTCACTCTATGTTAAGTTATTGCATGACATAAAATCATGTGTTATAAGAGAAAGTATAAAAATACTGTGTATTAAAACCGCAAAGTCAGAATTAATCTTTGAATATGTTTTCCTCCCAATAATGAAAATGGAGAGATATGACTATATGTCTAAAATTTATGACTTTATATTTAGTAGATGCCAAATTATAATATTATGAGTTAAGTTCTTACACAAACATTTATGTAAATGAGTAATTTTATTTTGTTCCTCAATGGATGCAAAGCTTGAGAGTGGACTTAGCAAACTGGGGGGTGGGCTCATTAGTAAAACATAAAAATTGTTAGTCAATACCTGCTGTTAAAATTTGAATGAAGTTCTCTAGAATTTATGGAACCTTGAGACTTCAGCATTTCAATTAACATTTGACTTTCCAACGTATCATGATATAAGATGATCCTTTGTCTTTCAAAGAACTTGTACTGTGTAATTGGCTGAATAAATTAGAAGCAAACAGTATTATTGGAAAAAAGAAACATTCCATCCAGATTTTTAAAAAAGACCCATGGACTTGGAGTTGCATCTAGTGAATGTAAGCAGAGACTGAATCTAAAGAAAAGACTACATGAGTATTGGTAGTCCATATCGTGGGTGTATGCTCCCAGGACGAGGGTAGCTTAGTATAGTGGTAACACAGAATTTGAGGGTACTCCTTCAGAACAAATAAGGTTGTGCACTTGGGTACTCTGGCAGGTATGTACACTCCCAGGCATGTAACATGAAGATGTGGGACCTGCCAGTCAGGTTGTTTGTTTCTAGAACAGTTTTGCATGAATACATAATATCCCTGGACATATGTGCAATGCCCACGGACATGTGTGAATGAGGACATGGACACTTCCAAGCAATTCCAGACAGTTGTATACACTTCCAAAACAAGTGTTCATCAATATGTGGGGCCCATACAACATGTATGTACTTTCTTTGGCCCAAAGTTCATTTGTTTGTACATGATAGACTTGTACAGATGTGTACACTTTCAAACAAGTATGCATGAGGCTGTGGGAGATCCAGGTAGGCAAGCACTCTTTGAGTGCATGGATCCCTTAAGAGGTAGTCAGAGCTTCAAAACTTAGATTTCAGCAAACCTCATCCATGTTTCAAGTGTCTCCTTTTACCTCCATGTGCCTCTTGTGGACTTTTTATAAGAGCATAATTTTATATGTAATGCTTCAGATATGTAACAGACACCTTAAAATACTTATTTTAAAAATTAACAGATTTTTGTAAAAGTGTAATTAGTTTAGACTTCAAAAATGTCAACAAAAATAAACACTGATATTTAATACCTTTGTATAGGATTTTTGACAGTATATATTCTCCAAAATCTAGTACATTAGATCTATTTAGTTTCTAAATTCTTTATACACAATGTCCTCACAAATCTTTCTTGGGGAACTATGGTAAATACTACAATGGACCTTGCTCTTCATTAGTGACTCCTTAACAAATATCCATAATAATTATGGCTGGGATTCACTATAATCTGTGTAAGAGTTCATGATTCAATTTGTACTTATTTCAAGAGACCTTGCTCTTCATTAGTGACTCCTTAGCAAATATCCACAATAATTATGACTGGAATTCACTATAATCTCTGTGTAAGAATTCATGATTCAATTTGTACTTATTTCGAGAGAAATGAAACATGCATTGATTTATATAAAGAGATCCACCTCACTTCAGGTCAGGAAGACCAGGAAAATACCTGTTTGTGTGTGTGTCTCATTCACAGAGGCTCATGCACAGAAGTCCCGGTAGTTTGTTTAATTAGCATTATGGAACATCTCTAATGTAGCATTTCTAGGGAATTGATGGGTGCTCAGTTTTTATTGTAAAGGTTTCTGAATGTTATATTTCGAACTTTTGAAATGTGTTTTATTTCTAAGGTCTTGGAATTGGAAACATGTTCTATGTTTTTTATGAAGATGGAATCAAAGTGATACAACCCACAGAATGTGAATTTCAGAGGCATATTAAGCCTAGTGAAAAGCTCCTTGGATTGCAGGCAAGTATATGTAAAGTTCCTTTGCAGTTTTTATGAAAGAATTTTTTTTAATTAAAAATACATTTGGAAACACATTGAAGCTTATAACAATGTGAAACTTTGTAGGGAAGAACATTCTAAGTTTGTCATGCTGTCTGTGATTTCATGAAAGTTAAGGAAGGAAAATAATCAAATTTTATCAGTTAAATACTTATTTATGCTATAATGAATTTGATAGAGACAAAATTTCAACAATAAATACAACATTTAATAACTTTATTAGGCTACTTAATTTAGAATATCTCCAGTTTTTTTTAGGATACCCTTTCTTTAACAAAATAAAAAAAAACTGAGGATAATTTTTAGAATGTAAACTTATTTTACCTATCTGCTCCCACACAAATTTAGACTTATACTTAACACTCAAAATGGGATTATAAAAAATATAATGAACATACTTACACATAAAATTCTTTCCTAATTCCTATACTTAATTTTGATGAGGCCATGACATAGACTAAAGAAGACATTTAGGATCACAAATATAGAACTTGATTGTTTATCTTCATCCGACCCATTAGAAACAAGTAGTGCTGCTCTATATTTATATATGAAGACAGCAATTCATAGCTAAAGCAATGCTCATGGATTAAAATTATACATATTTGGCAATAAAATGAGGAACACATAAAATTAAATTGAATTAAATAATTATTACATGATGTATTTGTTCTTATGCTTAAACATAGAAAATACGATTTTTCTACTCTGTACACATGTTGTGATACTGCACTCAATAGCTTCAAGCTTTCAACTGTTAAGTGTGTTTATGGAAAGATAGTGGAGTATATACAAGATGACAATATTTCTTTAGGGACATCTGTCTCTCTGTTTCTATCTCTTTTTCTCTATATCTCTGTCTCCCTCTCTATTTCCCTCCTTCACTACTTCTCCTATCCCCTCTTTCTTTCCTTTCCTTATTATCTCTCCCTATCACCCTCTCCTACCCCACTCTCCTTTGTCTACAAAATAAATATATTTATAATATTGAACTGAGAATGGTGGGCTAAGGTGTTTAGTCCAGTATCAGTAGGACTGACCAACAGTAGATCTGTCTGCTTATCACTGCTGTGGGTCATCAGATTAGAAACTCAAATCAACCTGAATGTTAAGTAAGGATTTTAGCGTAATCAGAAAACTCAACCTAGGTTTCAATGTTAGACTTGAGATAGAATTTTGCCACGTTTAGACACATAAGTTTTGGGACATGCCACCATATTAGATGCTGTCAGTCACCTATGTAAACATTCTCTCCATATCTACATTGGTGTTTGGGCAAGCATTTGGTTACTAAGACCTGGTCAGACGGACAGAGGTAGCTACTTTCACCTGTCCTTCCTTTACAGTGTGATGACATATGTGTTCCTGACAAGATCAAATGTTGTTCTTCAGACAAATGGACAAGGAGTAATAATAAAGCCATTCATCAAAGAGTCCACTGCCTTAAATCATTGTGACTCACTCAGTTTTGTCTAACTTTAAAGAGGGATACTATTTAATCCATCCTTCATTTAACATTAATCTTTGCTTTGTGATTTTACTAAAACAGTGTTTTCCTTTATTTATTTGTCAAAAAAAATTTCCAAGAGTACTTTATCACTAAGGTTTTAGGGGATAAATATAATCTCTAGTGCCTATTAATTTATGATGATAGGATCTGAGGTACAGTTTGTACATGTGAAACCATCCTTTCTTTGGGGAAGAGAAATTAAGTCTGTCTTATCTGATTTTAGAGGGCAACTCTCTTGGATATAAGCAGTAGGTGAAAAATCTTTTGGAATCATTTTTCCTCATGAATAAAGAATAAACATTGATATGATATTTTTCAAAGTCATTTTCAACACTAAGAGAGTAACAGTTCAGTTCCCCACACAGGAAGTGGATCAGTGGATTGTAGATAAGGAGTGATACACTTAGAATATTCCATCAAATTCTTCAAAAGTTTCTGTTTACTTGCTCTAAATAAAAATTCAATTAGGTGCTACATCAGCTTGCATTAGGTTTCAGGCTTTGGGAGAGCATTGGCAAGGAAGGGTTCCTTCAGAGAGCTGTGTTTTTCCTTCATCTCCTGGTTTCATTTTTGCCCTTTGTTTTCTATCTCTGATGGACTGGACTCTTGCTTTATTTATACTAGGTATATATATGATTTCATCTTGTCAAGGAGGCTATGATCTTCAAGCAAATATATATCTATTTCAGACTTATGGATTCACATTCAAATAGAAATAAGTTAGGGGAAAATGTTTAAATTATTTTCAGATTACTGAATTTTCATTCCTTTGAATATCATGGACTGTTGATCTCATTTACCAGCCTCAAGGCCTTTACAGTTTTTTATTCAGTGCTTACAGTGTAGCTATCTTTGCATCCAGCTGATTCCTGTGACAAAACCAGGTTATTACTCTTCCTGGATACTGACCAGGATTTGAAACAATAGCCCGTGTACTGTTATGCTTACCTATTCTACTGCAAGACTCAGATGGTCTATATCTGCATTCAATGCCAATTTAAAGTTTTCTGAGAAGCAAAAATGAACTGCAGTCTTTTATTTATTTATTTATTTTGATAGCACACAGAACATGAATCTCTAAGATTCCTGCAATTTTCTCATTTGAAAATTATTTTCCCTTTTAGAAATCAACATGAGTAATTTATTACACTACCAAGGAATAGGAGATCCTTAGCCTGTATGAGTCAAAACTGATGCAATTAGCAAGCAGGAACACCTCATGTTTCTCACAGGGAGAAACCAAGTCATCCCCTATCCTAGTGACAATTCCAGTTTCTGTTTGCTTTTTGTTCTGTTTCTAATTCGATTGCAACTTTTCAATATTAGATACCCCAAATACCCATTTAAACAAAAGCCATCTAATGCTGTGTAGACACTTTACTTTCCAAGCATAGCCAGTAGGCAGACATCTGTATGCCACCCTGCAGTGCATTCTGGAAACACAATCAGGACACTCCCCCTCACAGTGCTGTCTCTGTGGGGGGCATTGCTCAAATGGGGCTTAATTTGCAAAACTGTAAGCTTTGTTCCTTCACATGTGCAGTGCATCATGCAAAGAACTTCCTACAGATAGTAATATAAAAAACACCTTCTAAATATTTCTTCAGAGATTACTCTTTACATTTCAAAAGTAATTCATTTATGAAACTGTTCTTAGAAGTGCAAGATGCAAAGAGATCTTCGGATATTTCTAAAAATCAACACCATTGTAATATTCTCAGTTTGTGTTTCTGTTGGACATGTGTTTGTAAGCTCCCTCTAGGGTGCCTTTGGAAGAGGATAGGGAGTTTAAAGCATGTATCAAGTGTCCTGATGAAGGCATGTACTTCCCTTATGCATTAGGCCAGGCAAGGTTCTGGAAGACACCATATTAAGGACACTTCAATAAGCTGTTGTTAAAAATCAGTCAAGTTCATTTAAATATTGTGAACAGAATAATTAATATGCTCAAAGTTATTTGAATTTTTCACTAGATTTTCTTTAAGGGTAGAGATGTAAAGTGATTGAAAAAAGCATTGATATAGATGATATTGAGCATAAAAATACTTGAGAATTAAAATGTGGTACAATTCATATAGGATTTAAATTATAGGTTTTGTATAGTTTTTTTTATAGTATAATAAAAGTACAGAAACTTATTGTTAAGAAATGAAAGTGTATTGTTGTTTATTTTTAAGAAATAACAGTTTGTTCCATCATGCCTCCTCATGTCCATTCCCCACTTTGTGTATTAAATGAAAAAATATTTTCCTTGGCACATAATATCTTTTGAAATATCACTATTCAATATTTTTGGGTGGTGTGTTTTTGACAACTAAACATTTTAGTGAAACCATCTCTATTTAATTTTAAATTGTACTGAAAACTCTATCAGGTTACAAAGATCATCTGAAGTATTCATGTAGGAGAGAAGCATAAATTATCAAATTAACAGTTCTAATTATATTAAATGTTTAACTTTTAGATACTCCAAAACTGTTCAGTACTGAAAATTAAATTTTTGAATGCATTGTAATTGTTTTCCCAATGGATTTCTATATTGAAATTTAGGTACAATCGCCTAATAAGAATTCAAAAAACAACAACTAAAATTTAAAATTTACTGATCTTACCTGAAGAACCCATGGATTCATTCAAGAGAAAGTGGTTTCTGACCATTGATTAATTTATTTTAAATTTTTTGTTAATCATGTTTAAGCAGTTATTATGGATTTTTCAGTATGTTGATGATGTGGTCAATATTTCCTAGAGTTTGCTAGGCTATAGCATAGTTGTTCCTTCATCTACACTGTTCATTTATTTTTAAAGATTAGAAAGAAAAATACTGTCAACAGACATTATTCTCAAATGTAAATGCACATGTACAAACAACATGCTTTATAACAATTATAGATACTCAAGCTTCTGTTTCAGTCTTTTTGTGAAAGTATATCCTATCAAATAATTCAAAATAACGAGTTTTCCAAATGGGTTTCCAAATGGGACTCCAGGAGCTTTCAAATGAAATCAAAACTTATTTTTTGTATAAATTTATTATCAAAGGTTCACAAAACCTAAAATGGTATGTGTTCTTCATCACAATGTGGTGATTCAATACATGGAGTCATTGTCATCACATATTGCTTGTGTCAGAATATATATACATGTTTTCATATAATCTTTTCTTTTTGTGGCAAAAAACAGTGCAAATTCTTTTAACATTTTAAAATTACCTATAGTCACCATGTTTTTCAACAGCACCTCAGAATGTCTTCCTGCTATCTAATTGTAATTAACTGATACCTTTTTTCTCTTCTATCTACACTAGCTTCTTATTCTCTAGTACTTCCCAGTTTGTCTCCAGTGCTATATATCAGATTTTATTTTTATTTATTTTATGTCAGAGAAATCTGTAAAAATTTGTCATTCTGACACATTTTGAACTATTTCACTGAACATAACATTAAGTTAC